ACCAGCGGGGGTGTGGGTGGTGACTTGAAGCTCTTATACTCATGGAAGAACGCATGTCTGCAGGAAGTGGGAGTTGAGGCACCCATGAAGCAGCACCACTCAGGCAGGAGGGGATAGCTCAGGCAGCCCATTATTTTTCCTGGAGACAAAGAGCTGAGGCCGGGTGAGATACCGTGCACTCAATTCCAGCACACTGATGGGCACAGAACAAGTGCTGCTTGCTGAGTTTCTGCCCACAGCTACCAGAAGGGGTACTGGGAGTTGGGAAGGAGGGGAAAGGAACAAGAAGATAGACAGTCCACGCCGAAGAGTTAAAATAAAGGAGAGGGGACCTCATGTCTCCCAGAGTTTCTGCCCTTCCCCCTTTCCTTCTTTTTAAAACAGTCTGAGTAGTCTGAGTTAATCCTGGTGGTGGCATCCTAACCCTTTCAACTGAACTACGCCCTCAGGAGCATAAACCTGACTGTTCCCATGAAGAACACACATTCTGGGGCTAGTAGAGGGCATTTCCCTACGCCAGTGTCCACGGGCAGCTCTGGGGTCCAGGTCTCCCCCGGGGCCAGGATGCAGCAGTACTTAAATCCCCATGAGGCAGGGTTGCTTCTGCCTCTCAGGGAGAGAACTAAGGGGAAGAGGTTTGGAAAACCAACTCCTGTGTGCGGGAGGACACTTCTCATCAAGCCTCTGGTAGTCGGCCTCTGTGAGCCACAAGGAGTGATAAATGCCTTTTCCCCCCACCACCATCTGTGACTGTCAAACATTCGACCACAACCTCTGAGGCTGGGCAGCTGCCTTTTCCTGGCCAAATAAAATACAGAACATCCCCAACTTAGAACAAGATGTATTCCAAAATAAAAACTTTTGGAAGTTACAACTTCCAGAAGTTTGTGAGTCTGGACATATTTCCCCATGGAAACATCAGGAACAGGTTTGGGCTCCCAGGGCCACTGCTGAGGTTTGGTTAACTCATGATAGGCCATCCAACCCCATCTAGAACATTGTTTTGCCTTTCCTCAAAATGAAACAGGGCAGGGATGGGGTGAGGATGGCTAGTCCCCTGTCTGGTACCAGAGGTCATATGTGTGTGGAAAACAGAGGCCCCGCCTCAGCAGTGTCTGCAGTAGATCCACCTAGATCTTACTTCCGGAATCGGGGAACCAATGCACCTGCTCTTCCAGGGGCCACTCAGGCAGTAGAAAAGGCTGGGCCTCACCCGGCATGCGTAAACCAGGGAGGGCCTGGGGCAGCAGGAAAATGTGGCTCCCATGAGCAAGGAGCTTGGGGCAGGGCCAGGGGTGGATGGGCAAGGATGCTGCCAGAAGCCAGCAACTTCCTTCTCGGGTCCTCACGGGGTTGGTCGGGGGCCTACCGGATTCTCACAGTAATGACACAAGTCGTTGCCCCCAATGAAGAGTGTGACCAGCTTCCAGTCTTTCTCCAGGTTGATGTCCTGAGGGGACAGAAGATCTTGAGTTTAGACCTTGGTGGGAGGCACATGCAAATGTTGCTACTGGGCCAGCCCGCCTGCCCTCCAAGTGTCTTTTGTCTTCTTTGTATTGTAACAGAGCAAAGCAGCAAAGTGGGCCAGGTGCGGTGGCTCACGCCTGTAATCCCAGCACTTTGGGAGGCTGAGGCAGGTGGATCACCAGAGGACAGGGGTTCAAGACCAGCCTGGCCAACATGGTGAAACTCTGTCTCCACTAAAACTACAAAAATTAGCTGGGCCTTGTGGCAGGTGCCTGTAGTCCCAGCTACTTGGGAGGCTGAGGCA